CAGCAGGTCCACCGTCTAAAGCTGGAAATTAACATAACCACTATAACGGAGTACTTCGGACAAGGAGCCCCTGCTAGATCGCCCAGAAAACACGACAAGGTTGTGAAAACGAGTTATGACCACTCGTAAACTTGGTTTTAGTTTATAAATAGGTTTTCGAGACTATCAATAGATCTGATATAAGAAGTGCATTCATCCTTTTTCGTTTAAGGTAATGCAGGAATGGTAGTTGAATTTTTCTCCAATCGCATGAGTAGGTCCCATGTTTCCATTGAATTTCACATAGTCTTCCTTCCCAAAAGGCATCATTATCCGGACTTGACTGCAGTTCACACATCGCCTAGGCCTCCTCAGCTCCTCCGACAGGATTCAAATTATGTTAGTGCGGCGTATAGTCTCGACCCTTTAACCTTTATTTGCGGTAGGGAAAGCCTACCTTCCCACAAATTGACATCTACCCAAGGGCACTGGTTAACCCGTCGAAGTTATTCGCTGCAGTGCCATTGTTCAACTCACGCAGAGCGCACTGATGAGACCTGGACGAGGTCGAAACTACGGTCCAGTCCAGTCTGAATGCGAATACCTTTTTTATAGCAAGACTATATGAAATTCAATGGAATCATGAAGCTTACTTCTTCATTATGGCAACATATAATCACCAGTCCTTGATCACCTTAAACGAAATAGGATGAATGCAGCTCTTATATCAATAACCTTTTCTGTATAATAAAGGATTATTTGAGTTTTTGGAACAACTTTGGAAATCCGGCAGCAAGATGATTACGGCCTCTGGAAAGTAGTTGGTTGCATCCCAATAGTTTGTTACCATCGGACGCAATCTGTACAGAATAGGTCAACAGTGCGAATTATCATGGCATTGCCCTACTCATGAATAGATATAACACCAATCTTCAACTATCTCCTCAAATGTGAATTATTACACACCGGGAAAAATTCTCTATTTTACTTTTTCCCGGCGCATACGAAAAGATACGGTCTGTAAATAATCCTTTATTTTTCGAATTAAGTATTGTTCTCGTGACTACTAGTAAATCAGTAATATGAGAGGCGTTCACCCAATTTCGTTTAAGGTGATGAGGGACTGGTAGAAGGAGAATTTTCCCACAATGATATAAGTTGAGTTGACGTTTCCATTGAATTTAATATAACCTTGGTTTTCCCAAAAGTTGTTCTCATCCAGGGTGGACTGCAGTTTCGACCTCGCATCGGTCTTATCAACACCCTCAACGAAATTGGGTAAATACATCTCAAATAATCCTTTATTTTAGAGAAAATGTTATTGACATTAGATCTGTATTCATCCTATTTAGTTTTTCGGCGCATACGAAAAGGTACGCTCTGTAAATAATCCTTTATTTTCGAATTAAGTATCGTTGTCGTGACTACCAGTAGATCAGTAATATAAAATGTATTCAGTCCACTCCAAACGGGATGAGAACAAATTTTGGGAAAGTAAGGCTATGTGAAATTCAATGGAAACGTCAGCTCAATATGGTTGTGGCAAAATTCTTCTTATACCAGTCCTTCATCACCTTAAATGAAATTGGGTGAATACATCTCATATTACTGATTTACTGGTATTCACGAAAACAATAATTAATTCGAAAAATAAAGGATTATTTACAGATCGTACCTTTTCGTATGCGCCGGGAAAAAATAAAATGGGGAATTTTTCCTGGTGTGTAATAATTCCCATTTGAGGAGATAGTTAAAGATTGATGTTATATCTATGCATGAATAGGGCAATGCCATGAGAATTCGCACTGTTGACTTATTCTGTACAGATTCCGTCCGATGGTAACAAACTATTTGGATGCAACCAACTAATTTCCAGAAGCCGCAATCATCTTGCTGCCGGATTTCCGAGTTGTTCCCAAAACAGCCAAAACAGTTTGGTTTTTGATGGAAGATAACTGGTCCCATCAGACCAGTTCTCACAAATGCACATTGCATATAAATGTGCCGATTAGGTGGACCAATCCGCATAACTCTTCGCTTCAAATGTACAAATTTGACACTCAAAAACCTTCTGTTTCATTTGCTCCAGCTCCTCCAGCTTGACTTCGTCAAATCAGCGAGGCGCAGTCGTCGAGTTCCTCATCGCTCATGTGCACGAGATCTTTCCGCTGGATACGCCGATTCGGCTGAGTGAGATCGCCAGCGAAGACGACTCACGTCTCCTTGAACGGGCGGAGCAGAAACGTCGGCAACTCCAGCCAACCCCTGACGGCCAAGAGGCAGGAGTTGATGCCACAGGTAGGCAACCAGTTCACATCACCTTCGAATGGGACTTGAACTCTTCCACTCCAGTACGAAAAATGCATCTACATAATCAGGGATTAGACGCATGCAGATATTTAAATTCTGTCTCCGCAATTATCTTAAAGACTTGTTAAAGGATGGAAAAAGTCTGCTTACATTCAATACTTATCATCATTGTCTATTTCTCACTGTATGCAAGCATGTAGAGAGGATACCAGATAGGAAACATAAAAGATCAGCAGACTTCGGAAAAGATAGCTCTAATCTCTCCTGCCTCAATGAAAATATACTTTCCACCAGTTTCAGATGGTCTTTAGTCTCTTTTGTGTCCTTTAGGACCTATTAAAAGCGCCAAACCGCAGCTCATTACAGTGACATGCACAGTCGATACGAAGAGAAACTGGGTTTCGAGGAATCCCCTGAGGTATCATTGTTGGAGGACTTTCATACGAAATGAAAGTCCCCCCAACAATGCACAGTCGAATCACATTAATCCTTTTTTTAGAATTC